GCAGATCTTGCATCAACGATTATTTCCTTATATTAAGGTAGCTGGGGTGTCTAAATGTTTGACGATAGATTTTTCTTTAACGTCTGGGTCAAATGTACTTTCAAATTCCAACATAAAAACTGGGGATCACGGACTTTATTTTTTTGTTAAAACACATTGAAATTAACAAAAATCACAGACATTTCATATGAATATAAAGGGGAAACTTAATTTCCTTTATTGAGGAAATATTAAACGATAGAATTGGTTAAAATTCATTGAAAGAATTGCTTTTCATAAATACTTCCGAAATATCATATAAAAATAGTGGGGCACAGGCCTTATTTTCTTGAAAAGTAAAAAATTTACCATTTTAATTCAGTATAGTTATCTGCCCTTGATTTTAAAAGGATTTTTCTGAAAATTTTAAATACACTTAATTTTTTTATGGTTTAAAGTTAAAACACATTGTTCTAACTCAAAGGTACCCGTCCTCAGGAGGATATGTCAATACAACCTTACACATTATTCTAACTCCAAGGTACCAATTCTCAGGAAGATATGTCAATCCACCCTTACACATTATTCTAACTCCAAGGTACCAGTCCTCAGAAAGATATGTCAATCCAACCTTACATATTGTTTTAACTCAAAGGCAACCAGCCTTTGCTCTTGTTCTTAAATGAAGCATGCTTGATAGGTGGGAAAGTGAATACCAAGAAGTCTTTGGTTTGAGCAAGCTTGGGATAAAATCCACTATCTTTCAAACTTGAGACAGTCATATTGTGGTGCACTCAGCATCCCTAGCTAGCAACAAATGACTACTTTAAATGATCAAAAAGATATAAAGTTAAATTTATAAGAAACTTTTAATATACATGAATCAAAATTTCTTGCACAATAAAAAATTATGGCACATATATAACAAATCTCATTTTACAAATTCCCAACAAGCATAAAAATTGTAAACAGCAACATTATAACACAACAATAAAATAAATCCATTATAACGTTTATAATATAAACATAGGTAAATGTTGATCTTAAACAATCATATGCAAAATTTTCTCACTAAGTATTGCAACTTAAATATTTTTATCATCTTTAGAGATCTTACATGTAAAAAAATTAAGAGGCAGAGGATACCAAGAGGAAATCCAAACAACTAAATGTTGAGAGTAAACAGACTATACCATGGCCAAAAAAGAAAAAAAAAAAAAACATTGCAACTCATGATATTCCTTTCCTGCTGTTTTTTGCAATCTATTCAAAGTTTTGTCACATTTAAAAATTTGATTGTAGTGACTTTTTTCAAATAAATCTTATGAATATAAACATTGAACATTAATTTTTATTTTTGGTAAAATTTTTACTAGTTAGGCAAGAGAAAATGTAAACTAAAATAATTCCAATTTGTTTTAAGCATAACCCAAAGCTGTACATTATAAAGAGAACATCTATGCCATTTTAATGTTGCATCATGCAAAATAACAATCTCCATGTAATAACATTATCAACTTGAAGAAACAAAATATGGTGCATTAAAAAATTATTGTAATGGTGATTCAAATTGACAACAGCAAAAACGAAATGTTTTGTAGAAAATCTTCTTTATTTAAAACATTGCATATGATCTTCACTAACTATGTACATTCAAATCTGTTAATTTCATGAAACTATTCAGTGGTGAGAACCCTTCAGAATTAAGAGTCTGGTCCTTTTCAGTCCTTATTGAACAGAAATTCATCCTAATGTGAAAAAATCAAATAATCAAAATTTCAAAATTACACAACAAATCATAAGTAATGTTTAAAGTATAGAAGTAATGCAAAACTAGTGCATATAAAAATGAAATTCTGAAAATTAATTATTCTACCTAATTTACCCCATTGCTTGTATTAGTGAAGAGTTACCCTTGATCATTAGCAGTTTCAATGATTACCACAGAACAATTGTCAATGGTGGACATACTGAAGCTTATAAATTTTTGTTTATTATCATTTTCAATACTGTAAAATACATCATGTATAATGTGTGTGTGTACAAAACTTTATTATCTTAACTTTATGACATCAAAAACAAAACTTCATTATAGTCTTCCAAATTTATCTCATATAAAAATTAAGGTTTATGCTGAGATATCAAGTGTTGCTTGAAATTCGCGGGTTGGGTTACAAAATACGAGAGTGGAGGGGCACCACCCTTAAATAGCCAATGGTGATTCCTCAGTTTCAAATATACTGAATATTTCAACTGCAGATTTCCCAAACAAATTTTCATGTATTGTTTTTCATTTGTTTTCAGCAATGTTTTTAAATCTTGATTAAATACAATGGAATGAAATATTATGCAATTTGTCATGGTTTATATTTCAAGTTATTCACTGAATTTATTTCAATGATTTTATTAAGACAATTAAACCTAATTCTTATATAAACAATAAAGCTTAGTTTGTATGTACAATTTTCTCTACCAATAATTTATTCAAAATACTACAGATTCAAAGACTGCTAAATCACATTTTTACTATTGGTAAATGTAATTTTAAGTTTTTTTCAGTGTTTTACTATTGCTCATTATAGTTCTACTAATGTTCAGTGTAGTTTTACTATTGATCAGCTTATCTTTATCAAAAGCCATGAAAAACTAATGCAAAAATATAAACCTAATTAAACATATCTGTAGTTTGTTTATAAAATAAAATATATGAAAAGAATGGCGAGTCTAAAATAAGATAAATGAAGAAATGTGGTCCTGGTTCTAATCTATGACTGATTCATTGTTATTTGCTTAACATCCAGTGGCAAATATTTCATAAATATTCAGGAAAATTTTATCCTATTAATATTGTTATACTGTGGATTCATTAGTATTCATTGGACACCAATTTTTCGTAGAATTCGTGGATACAGGTGAACCACGAATTTCAATTTTCAACGAATTGCAAATTTTTCTATAAGCTGGTATGCAGACTTTGTCAAAACCACGAAATTAAATATCCACGTAAATGCAACTTTTCCCTAATCCACAAAAATTGATACCCACGAAAATAAATGAATCCATGGTAGATAACAATTTTTTTAAAATGTAAATGATTTATTTTTATTGAACATAAATCATGTCATATCAATTGTAGATTAATAACAAAAATTGCAAATTGATGGGCAAAATTTAGTCATGCATTAATTTTAATGGAGGGCAGTAATTTAGGTAAATACCATCCTGGCTTCAGAAAACACTAAAAAATCTAACTTATGAAAAATGTAAATCAAACTGGTATTTGGTACTTTTTCAATGATTTAGGTTATAATGCCCTTTTCCACTGTCTATATAGTAGTATTACATAATATATTTTAGAAATAATCGCAAAAGATGACATTGCAAGAGACAAACCTCATATGAGACCAAATTAAAATACTAATGGATTGTATATAGGCCATACACTGTAAAATCATACGCTTTTGTTGTTTTACTATTGTGACCTCATGTACATTAAAGAATGCTAACAAATATGGTAATGTCATGAATTTTAAAAGACAATTTAGTAGAAAAGGTTTAAAATAAGAGGCTCTTAAGATCATGTATGGCTCACCTTGAACTATGACCATTTTTCAACAGTAGCAACTCTCCAACCCTATTTAACTTATTCAATATTCAAACTGCATAAGTTCAGTAGCAATAAGTCAACACTATATTTGATTTTCAAAAAATTACGATAATTAATATTTAATTTAACCAAAGTTTCGTAGAAATGTGGTACATAAGCATTTTTTAAATTTAACTTATTCATAAAATTTTCTATTTTTTAATCAAAGTTGCAGCCATTTTTAAAGATGGTTGAGGTCATTTTCCATAATTTTGAAAGAGGAGAATTAATGTATCATTTAACCAGTCTGACAGCAAATGACTCTTCAAATGATTTTCAGAGTTTTTTGTCAAGTTTTCTACTTTTTTAATAATTGGGGTGGCCTTGTTTAAAGGCTGATAAGGCAATCAAACAGTTACACAATTCTTTTTTTATAATTTTTAGTAACATCGGCAGTTATGTTTGAAGGCTCATGGGACCATCAACCACAGCTCTTATAAAATCATAAATGAACTGTTTAAAAAAGGTTTAATAGCACTTGGTCCTTCACATGGTTTTCAGGATTTTTTATTCACTTTTTGTTATTTTTGTTATTTTTATTAATGGCAGAGGTCGTGTTTGGGTCATCACCTTAATTCTTAAATTGAATCACAAATTCAAAATTTTGATAGAAATTGGTCCTTAACAGGAGATTATTTTGGCAAGTTTTGATAGATTTTTATTTATTTAACCCCTGTTTTTTTTTTCAGAAATAGCATTCATGTTGGTTTGACAATAGTGTCATCATATATACCTTTTTCAAAGAGAAGACACAAAAGGATGATACAGGCAAAGTTAGTTTCATTAGTTTCATTTAGCCCAATGGTTTTAGAGGTGTAGAGTTTGGAATAAAACTTAATACAAATAATGGATGCTCCAAGTGATAGTAAAGCTCTCTGGCCCTTTGAACCTGAATGCTAAAATGGGTTTAATAAATAAGAGATCTTGTCAATGATTTTGAAAAACCGGTATTCAGTGAATAACCAAAAGGAAAGAAAAACATTTGAACTATGTCTCAGTTACAGATGAATCGGTTCAGGAGGTTTACAACATGGTACTAACATCAAAAATATTTATCACGATAAATTCATTATGTAGTGAATTACATGTATAGCTAGAATATAGGAATACATGAGGTCCACGAGCCATCTGTAGTAGAGGTAGGTAAAAAGATACATGTATTTGTAACAGTAAAATCAAGATATATGTAAGCAAAGCTTAAAATACCATACATGCATCTCATATACAACCCAATACGAAACAAAACACTTTTTCCTTATGTTTGATTCAAAATAAGAAATCCCAAAAAAACAGTTGCCTATCTACAGAAATGTTGTTGATAAATGACATATAAACTTCATAGAAGCAACATGGCATCAAATGAACACTTCCAGTGTATAATACTAATACATCACACTTTATTGGCTATAAGATTTCAATGACAACTAAAAAAATATTACAAAGAAAATCCTATACATATTCAATATGGTTTTACCTGAAAGTTAACTTGAATGCTCTAACAATAATTCATATTCATAACAGTCTAATCAACCTTAAATAATATTAATTATACATGAGCATTTCTGTCCAAAATTTACCCGGATTTTTTTAATAAAATGTGTGAGTCTTCTAAGGAAGATGTGTATCACATGCCGTCTTCAAATAATATAACGTGAAAAGGCTAAGTCAATGTTTTGGTAAGGAAAACCCCCAAAAATAACTTAGAACAAAAAGTAAAATAGCAGGTGCACCACTGCATGTCCTGTTAAAGAACCTGTCCAAGATTGGTTGCATTCTGTCATGCTGTTTTCAAGCATTTACGGATTTATAAATGGATATTTGCAGAAATGGGTAAGTCCATGTTTTGGTATGGGAAACCTAAAAAAATTACTCAGATTTAAAATTAAAGTAGCAAGAACACAACTTAATACAACCCAAGTTTGGTTGAATTCTGTCGAGCCATTTTAAAGGAGTTGTCTTTTAACAAAGTTTGACATGGACTATGATTGATTGTTGATTGCTTAACGTCCAGTGGCAAATATTTCATGCATATTCAGGACAAACATGGACTATGAAACAGATAATGATGATGCAAGACAAAATTAGTGATCCTGATGTGCTGCTAGTGACAGCTGGATGTTGTTAGGCAACACAATAAATGTTCCATGAAGTCTCATAAACCTTGATTGTAAAACTTCTGAATCAATTAAATCAATGTCTTTTATATTTCCTCCAAAAACTCATAGGGCACCTTTCACTGAACACTTAATGAATGGGACATAAAAAATGTATAAAATTGTCAAAAACAGAACATTATTCAGTTATCAATGTATAACTTTTGGCACTTATATAATGGGAAGGGACCCAAAACAAGATTAATACAGAACAATTTGTTATTTGACTAAAACAATTTAACAAAGGAGTAGGTCCAGTAAGACCCCTTTTTGGCCCCAAAATATAGCAGTTTTACAAAATTGCTAAAATGTAAACTTTAAGCTATTTATTGGAAAGTACAATACTTCTGCTACATAAATATGGGCAGTTTTTAACAATACAATGCATATATATCGGGTACTAGCATCATTAAGTCATGCTAAATTACGGAAATCTTCACAATTTTAGCATTTGAGTTAAATTTAGACGGTTTCTGTCTTAAATGGAAGTGGCCGCATTTGTGTTCATTCTTAATATTTAAATGCAAGTTGTATTTGATGATAATACATAACATATATAAAGGTTGAGAGTGAACACGAATGCAGCCACTTTCATTTTTGACAAAAACCGTCTGAAAAGTGACATATTATGGCTAATTTGATAGATTTTTCATATCTAAGCTTGAATCTGAGCGTCTTTAACGATAAAATCAGTTCAAATCTGTTACATAAACTAATTGAATCGACTGAAGTAGACACTTAAGTGTTTAAAAAGTGACCAAAATCTTTCATCAGATGAACCTGAAATTTGAGGCCAAAATCGGCCCTTACCGGACCTACTCCTTTCCTTTTCATAATAGTGTACAAATGTAGACATGTATGAGTATGCAATTAAAAATTATAATACTTTGTTTTTCATTTTCTGTTCTTTGATAAGTATACATACTTTACAGAAATCAAGCCATTTCTGAAGCTGAACTGTTGACACAATCTATTTTATTCAATTGCAGTATTAAGTAGAAAACAATCCATTCTTCAGAAAATAACATTAGAAAATGGGAACTCTGCTTTATCTGGTTGCATCAAATCAGCCAAAAAACAAATTGTACCAGCCCATCCTTCATACAGACTGTATGGACTATCTGGTACCCTTGCCTGCTCCTTAAACTCTGTCGTGAACATAAACTCTGCAAACATCAAAGCTCGATGTAGATATTTCTTGTCATTGGTAAGTCTATAGAGGAGCAGGAAAACATATCCACTACCAGCCACTCCATGGCAGATTCCTGGGCCCTTCTTTAATAGCCCTTTCTTCCATACCAATTCTCCGCATCTGATACAGGCTTGAAGGTATTTATCATCACCCCACAGTTTGTAGGCTCTGGCATACATGTAGATTACACCTACAATAAGTTGCAACTATTTCAAATGTATATTAAATGTTTATAACATGGATCTTAGGTTCAGATTGAACTAGATGTGGTTGTACCACACAAAAAACCCTTTTTACAGCAAACAATTTTTACAAGGTGTGAACAAGAACATCTTTTTTTCCAGTATTTACTAAGCACCACAAAGTACAAATTATCTGTTACTGTTGTTTTACAAGTACATAAAACTCAGCTCAATATCTGAAGACTCTTTATGCAAAATAAAAGAAGACAAATATATATATATATATATATATATATAAAAGCTGGCAGTCAGCAGGGTTTAAGAACATTTGTTGTTCGACCTGTTAGTCAAATGCGTTTTGTTATAATATACTTTTTCACTTTTTTGGTCTTTTGGAAAATGTTGTTTGTGCTGTATTTAGACCCCTTTACCAAGAAATTTGTTTTACATGCACACGTATAAAAAATGCGGTTTTTGTCCAACGCATTCATAGGTTTGAACATTGTTTTCAATTTAGAGTTGTTTATATATATATATATATATATAAACAAGTCTAAATTGAAAACAAGGTTCAAACCTATGATTGCGTTGGATAAAAACAGCAATTTTTATACGTGTGCATGCAAAACAAATTTCTTGTTAGAGGGGTCTAAATACAGCACAAACAACATTTTCCAAAAGACCAAAAAAGTGAAAAAGTATATATATATATATATATATTTATTCAAGATAAAAAGCATGAATTTGACAGATACAATATATTACAATGACACAGATATAGCACTAGACATTGTTTATAGACACTAAAATGATTTACATGTTTACTAAAAATTATAATTTAAAAAATAAAATTATGAAAATTGTCATGATATTTTGATAATACAAATAGACTAGATTAAATAATGAGTGAAATTTAAATTGACTAGATTTTCACTTTAGCCTAATACCTTAAGATGACCCACAAAAGTTATTAAAACTTATTTCCAGTGGGGTCCAAAAGAAGAAATACAATTGTCATGTAATTTTCTTACTATGTATAAGAAATGTAATTCTGCTAGAAATCAAAGGAAGAAGTATAACTGAAAGATAATTTCAAGTTAATCTGTAAATAAAAATTTGAAGATTGAACATATACATCAATGTCCATGAGTCATAATCACACCAAAAGCAAGTCAACTTGAATGTAAAATAAACTTGATCTGTAACTCCAGAGTTCTCTAAAAGTGGTGGTCCTAAGGTTTTGAGCTCTAAAATTTTGCAAAGGACCGACACAATATTTTGCAATATAAATAATAGTGAGAACCAGAAGATTTTCTTCAAAGACCACCAGGGAAAAAAAAAGATATTGAGAAATCTGTAACTCATCATTATACATGTAAATATTTTTACAAACTAGATGTGTTGTTTCGACAGGAATGCCCTGTCTGCATCCTAATTGTGAAATATACATTTGTAGTTAAGTCAAATGATGGTGATGTGTATCAGAGACACTGGCAACACAGTGTTCATGGGTTAAAAGTGTGGATCGTATGGTAAAACTGAGAAATTCAGAATGTCTTTGTTGAATGGGAAAAGCTGTTCTACCAAAACAACAAATGCTGATTACCCGACATAAAATTTGAATTTTGCAAAATGTCGGCCAACAGGAACAATAGGCAAACTTAATCTACAGGTAAACAATCATTTTAAACTATATTGTATCAAAAAATTCAGCTTTAGATCTGCAGGCCTTACTAAATAAAGAGCTGCATCATGAGAGCATGATACGCCATCGCTTTTTCAATGAATAAAGTTTCCTCAATGTCATATCAGAAATTTATAAAAAAAAACTTAAGGGAGCTTATTTTAATAGATATAAACCAGTCACCAAAGTTTCATGCAAACTGCTCAAAGTATTTTCGAGTTATTGTCCAAAAACTGGAAAATCCCCCTTTTTTTTATGAATAAAATCCCATAACTCGGAAATGTAAAATCTAAAATTTATACAAATCGAAAGGTAGCTTACGTCAATAGATATACACAATTCACAGAAGTTTCATGAAAATTGGTTATAAGCGTTTTTCTGAGTTATTGTCCGACATGTTGACGACGGACGTATGGACGGACAATGGTATACCATAATACGTCCCGTAAACAGGTGTATAAAAAGTCCTGACAAGTGTATTTTTCTTGGTATTTACTAAGTCCAGGGGCTGTACTTCTGCCAAAAGTTGATCAACATGAATGAAACATTAACTCGATCTGAGAGTCATCATAACTGTTGATGTACCAAAAAAACATATTAACATCTCCAGGCAAAACAAACAAAATGTTTGGACAACTGTTTGCTTTCAGATTGACAGACAGAAGGACATGGGAAATAATATATGTACCAGCCACAAGGTTAGTCTGTATCTGATTTGAATAAAGGCAGATATGGGAAGCAATAAAATAATACCAAAAAAACACCTGTTTAACACCAACCCACCTCACTGACTGCTTTTTGAATATTTGTTTATGGATTTTACATTTGTAATGGATTCAGTGTTAATGAACAGTGTTCAATGACATTAAAACAAACTAAGAATTTATAGGTATAACAAGGGCTAATACATTATTACTAAAATCATATAGTTTAACTTTGCTCGTGTTGATGCACTTATTCCAATTTAATAACATCATTTGTGGCTTTAGTAGCCTCTTTATATTTTTGTCCACTTAGAAACTTGGTGTTGATGGCAGATGTTCTATACTGTTTCTGTAAAATCAAGACATATTGAATAACCTACAATGGGAAAACATTAAATTATGGAATATCTACTGCATTTACCTGGAGCTCCATGACACCAATGAACCAGTTCTTCACCATCAGGTCTGGGGCAACCAACTTCATCCATAGCTGGTGGATAATTCCCATCTGCATCCTCCAATGTTAGGAAATAATCCACAGCACTCTTAACAATTGGCTCAGCTGAAGTTGTTGATTTGAAAAAATCTGGAAAACTCATTAACATTTGGAAAATCCCTGACAATCCATGTGCTGCACCTGATAAGAGTAAAAGTGTAAAATGTATGGATATATTTTGTAACATAGTTCTTACTACCCAATTATTCATTTCCACAAAAGACATGGTCTGATTTGTAAAATATTTAGTCCACATTTATTCACCAAACAACAAAAGTATTTAGTTCAAATTATACATATGTAAGAACTGATTTTGTTAGGTATTCAGTCATACATATGATATTCATCTGATTACAAAAGTATTAAATTCAATATAACAGTTGATGTGATAAGTATTGTTTTATTAGGTATTCAGTCATAAATATATGTTATTCATCTGACTACAAAATTATTCAAATTCAATACAACAGTTGATATAAGTAAAAATTGTTTTATTAGATATTCAATCTTACATGAATGTTATTCACCTTATAATTACTAATAAATTATTAAATGCAACAGTTGACATGTGACAGAAGTGATCTATTTAGGTATTCAGTCATACATGTATGTTATTCACCTGACCACTAAATTATCCAATGCAACAGCTGACATGCGATAGAGGATCTATTAAGGTATTCAGTCATACAAGTATGTTATTCACCTGACCACTAAATTATCCAATGCAACAGCTGACATGTGACAGAAGTGATCTATTTAGGTATTCAGTCATACAAGTACATGTATGTTATTCACCTGACCACTAAATTATCCAATGCAACAGCTGACATGTGATAGAGGATCTATTAAGGTATTCAGTCATACAAGTATGTTATTCACCTGACCACTAAATTATCCAATACAACAGCTGACATGTGACAGAAGTGATCTATTTAGGTATTCAGTCATACAAGTACATGTATGTTATTCACCTGACCACTAAATTATTCAATGCAACAGCTGACGTGACAGAAGTGATCTATTTAGGTATTCAGTCATACAAGTATGTTATTCACCTGACCACTAAATTATTCAATGCAACAGCTGACGTGACAGAAGTGATCTATTTAGGTATTCAGTCATACAAGTACATGTATGTTATTCACCTGACCACTAAATTATTCAGTGCAACAGTTGACATGTGACATTGGTTATCTATTTAGATATTCAGTCATACAAGTATGTTATTCACCTGACCACTAAATTATTCAATGCAACAGCTGACATGTGACAGAAGTGATCTATGTAGGTATTCAGTCATACAAGTACATGTATGTTATTCACCTGACCACTAAATTATTCAATGCAACAGTTGACATGTGAAAGAGGATCTATTAAGATATTCAGTCATACAAGTATGTTATTCACCTGACCACTAAATTATCCAATGCAACAGCTGACATGTGACAGAAGTGATCTATTTAGGTATTCAGTCATACAAGTACATGTATGTTATTCACCTGACCACTAAATTATCCAATGCAACAGCTGACAATTGATAGAGGATCTATTAAGGTATTCAGTCATACAAGTATGTTATTCACCTGGCCACTAAATTATCCAATGCAACAGCTGACATGTGACAGAAGTGATCTATTTAGGTATTCAGTCATACAAGTACATGTATGTTATTCACCTGACCACTAAATTATTCAATGCAACAGCTGACATGACAGGAGTGATCTATTTAGGTATTCAGTCATACAAGTACATGTATGTTATTCACCTGACCACTAAATTATTCAGTGCAACAGTTGACATGTGACATTGGTGATCTATTTAGGTATTCAGTCATACAAGTATGTTATTCACCTGACCACTAAATTATTCAATGCAACAGCTGACGTGACAGAAGTGATCTATTTAGGTATTCAGTCATACAAGTACATGTATGTTATTCACCTGACCACTAAATTATTCAGTGCAACAGTTGACATGTGACATTGGTGATCTATTTAGGTATTCAGTCATACAAGTATGTTATTCACCTGACCACTAAATTATTCAATGCAACAGCTGACATGTGACAGAAGTGATCTATGTAGGTATTCAGTCATACAAGTACATGTATGTTATTCACCTGACCACTAAATTATTCAATGCAACAGTTGACATGTGAAAGAGGATCTATTAAGGTATTCAGTCATACAAGTATGTTATTCACCTGACCACTAAATTATTCAATGCAACAGTTGACATGTGAAAGAGGATCTATTAAGGTATTCAGTCATACAAATATGTTATTCACCTGACCACTAAATTATTCAAATTCAATGGAACAGTTGAGTGTTGACATGTGTAAGAGTTGATTTTGTAAGATATTCATTCATGCATGTATATTATTTACCTCACTACTACATTATTTGATGCAAGATGTGACATGTATATGAGGTATTCAGTCATACATGTATAGTTTACCTTACTACTAATGTGCCAAAATAAACAGGTTGTAAGAGGTTATTTTGTAAGATATTTAGTCACATGTTCACTTTACTACCCAAGTAATAAGTTAATAAACTCATGTTCACTTTACTACCCAAGTAATAAGTTAATAAACTCATGTTCACTTTACTACCCAAGTAATCAGTTAATAAACTCATGTTCACTTTACTACCCAAGTAATCAGTTAATAAACTCATGTTCACTTTACTAACCAAGTAATCAGTTTGCACAGATATGTGTTTCGTCTGTATGTAAAAACTCACCACAGATACGTTTGATAGTACTTTGATAATGCAAATGGTGAAATTAAATTAACAATACTTTTACATATAAACTATGCAAAACTTCCAAAGTAAATGAACCATGACTGAAGATGCAAGGCAAAATAATCTCTTTGGAAATGAGATATATGTCAATGCTAATACAATAGAATACCAAATATCATTGATTCCTCATAACTGGTTTCCTTTAAACTGACCTAATCTCAAACTTTAACAAACTATGCAAAATTTCAAAATTCAATGAACCATGACTGAGGTGACAAGGCCATATCATCTTTATAGAAATGAGAAGTGCTAATGCTAAATACAACTGCATATCAAATATCAGACTTACCATTAGTGGTTCCCCTTAAACTGACCTAATCATAAACTTGTAACAAATTGCTGACATGGCCAGAAAAAGCCACCCAAGTCTTGCTCAATACGCATATGTGTTACTTTGTTGTGCAATGATGTAAGTGCAAACAAAGATGATGTCATTACACAAGTGCTATTGGTCCAAAATTTTGGAGGTTTTTTATTCATCTTTTGGAAAGTATCCAATTTGAATAATTATAAATTTGAGTGTACCTGCATATATAATTAATAAAAAAAATTGTTAAACCTCACTTTAAAAAGTTAATATGTTCCTCACTCAGAAAGAAAATAATATGTAAGTGATCTTACCTAAGTATTCTGTTCCATAATAAGCATACATAAGAGGTGATTTTGAGAGGTGTTTAGCTGCATGTTGCTGTCCTGATTCTATCATTACAGAACACAGCTGATTCAATGTTGTGTCATTTAACACCTGAAAACATTCAAATAAAATTTATCAATTAATCAACTTAACAAATTTGCTGAGTTATGGCTATTTGGCATAACTTTTCAAAACCATCCACCACATAAAACCTGTCTAAAAATTTTAAAGAGAGAAAAAAATCATCTTCTATGGCACATGTATGCCATTAATAATAGATCTGGGTACCTAATAAAAATATCAGAGCTTATTATTAACACCCCCTTACATGTACATCATTATAAATGAAATTGTTTGAACATGTTGAACAATAATTTGATCAATTCAGGTTTGAACAAGCTTCTTACAGCTCTCTGGTACATTTGTACTTGAAATTATATATTACTAATAAATTGCAATACATGTACAATTTACCATTTTTAATCTATACTGAAACAATCAGTGTTAATCTCCAGTCCAGAAGTCCAAGTATATTTATAGATATTGTGATGTTTATTGATCGCTATGGTTACAAATAAGAAGAATCTTATTGTAGCAATACATGTTTAACTCTTGAGAAAGCGTTATGCAGATTTAGACGTTTGGCGGAAAAGTAAGTGGCCAGGTGGAAGGTTATAGGGGTGTTTGTGAGGGATTTTCGTTATCAGTAAAGGGAACATTTTGGGACCACCCCTATCAAGGAAATATTGTATTTGCCCTTAGATATATAAGCGAATGAGAAACGCCACTCGAGGCTGTCAATGTTCATAAATCAACAGAGCTTACTGCGGTTATATTGAGTGCTAGTAGAGCTATAATATTTGGAGGACACTTTGTCAGTCAGGGGACTTACTTAAATGAATGATTTCTAAATCACTGATTCAAGTAACATTTTGTCAACAAATGTTGGAAGTAAGAGTTGTCTTTCTTGAATAATCACCTATTTAAGTAGTACATTGTACAAATAAATCACTAGACTAATTATGTTGCTAAAATTATCAGAACCAATATCTGTGTTAATAGGATGACCGGTCATGTCAGGTGATGATCTTGTACTGAATCTGGGATAATGACATGAAAATCACTTGTTTAAGTATTATACCTCTATTTCCTTCCAAAAAATCACTTCTTTAAGTATTATTATTTTAATTACCCCCACTAATTTCAACACCCCCGAACAGTGAAATTTTGATCGATAACAGTAAAATTTTATTACATAATCTGTAAGATCTTGAATTTTACAGGAAAAATACTCTCACTGTTGGGAAAAATCTGTTAAGAAAGTATCAGTTCATTATGTAAAGCCTTCATTATAGCATTTTTTCAACAAATATAGAATTTACAGCTAAATGATCAAAGGCATAAACCTTGCTACTTAAAACAAGCAAAAGGTTCATATTTTTTCAAATTTACTAATAATAAGATATAATCTAAACCTATATGTTTAAAATTTTGGTAAAACTACGAAATCACAATTTGTGACAAAATTTCGAATTTGCTATTTAAATAAGTGATTTTATAAATCACTTATTTCAGTAATTCCCCTGACTGTTTGTACTGGGTACAAATTAAAGTGAACGTACAAGTTGATCAGATTGACAGAGCAGACTGTCCCACTCTGAGGAAAGCTGTACCAGCCCGCACTGTCTGGTAGTGACAGACTATCCCAATCGGAGGACAGGCTGTACCAGCCGGCACTGTATGGTAGTGACAGACTGTCCCACTCAGAGGACAGGCTGTACCAGCCTGCACTGTATGGTATTGACAGGCTGTAACAGTGAGAGGACAGGCTGTACCGGCCCGCACTGTCTGGTAGTGACAGACTGTCCCATCTGGTGGATAGGTTGTTTGTTTGTATTATATTTGTATATATATATAAATGTTCGTTGTTACTTTATCGGCAAAGAGCCAATGTGTATATTTTAATTCAATGTGCATAACATAGATAGATAGCTATAGATTTTTGGAATTGCTGTATTGTTTATGGACAGATTGAATCCAAGTATTTACTGGAATGCTCGTTTAAGGTAGATGGGGTGTCTAAATTATAATCCATAGAATTTTTTAATAATTTGCCAAAATGTAGTTTATATCATGCTTTTTAAAATCAAAGCATCGTTGATGTTGTGATCCAGCCATATTCATAGCTAGTCTGATATTCTTTCTGACCATTCTTTTTTCTAAATTTTTTTCTCTTTTCATTTCCAATCTTACTATAAAATGTCTATGTTATTGTCCAAAGGTAGGGAATTTTGCAATATTGATGCAAATATAGATATATATACTGATCTTTTAATTTCAGACTCTGTCAGATTTTATTTTTGACAAAAATGGAAAGGAAAATTGTCAAACAAGTAATATATTTTGTATATGCCATTAATAATGACAGGTTTAATAATTTCCAGAAAGAGGCCTTATAAATGCACTTTCTCAACAACAAAATTATAAAAAATAATAACTATGTTTTATCTAAACTGGTGTTCATTCTTCATTAAGAAAAAATACATTTCCTGTATTCAAATCTGAATGTACAAATACCTAATGCTGAGATATTTCCAATTACTGTCAAATAGCAATATAATGGGATATAAATGTAAAACAAACAAATAAATTTTATTGCAGAAAATGCTCAGGTAAGAGTTATGCAATTTTGTTAAATATTTCAACCAAATTTCTGATAATTGTAACTAATTAATTAGAACTTGATTATTGACTTATGTCAGATGATAATGGCACTGATTTTACAAGTAAAATAAAATTTGCTTGCATTTTTTATACATATTCTTTTCATTTTAAGTATTTTCTTTGAAAAAAAAAAAAAAACACATCAGATTAATCATTCAGCTAGCTAGCAAAATTAACAGAATATTTTAATGTAGTGTATATCAAAATAAATAATACATTTGTAGGGTTACTATTGAGGTCAAGAATGTGTGTATTCAGTTAGGTGTGTAATAAATTGTGTCTATTTAATTATGTAAGAGGTCATGAGATATTAACTGTTTTGAATTAAGCCTGGGGTTGTTTCTAATTAATACTTATTTGAAAATTATGACAGTTAATAATCATTCTGACTCTTACTTGCCTATGGAAAGAATTGGAGTAATACCATTTCAAAAAAGTGTGGGAATCAACTTAGATATATTAATACACATGTTGATCTTCATTTCATTGAACAATAATTTACACAAGCACAAGATACTAATATATAATACTTTCAAAATTCTTATCAACTGATTCAATTGATGTACAAATACTTTTTCAAATTAATTCATAAATAGAAAATCATCATACATTTTGATTAAGAAAGGAATTATATGCAAGTGTATATCTAAAATAAAGTCACTATTCGACCAATCTTTTCTTAATTTAAGGGCAAATAACATGTCAAAAAATTGCAGTTGATGATTAAAAGTGTGTAGAAAGTTTCTGCAAGTCATAAAAACACATAATTAGTTTCATGATATGTCTTCAACTTAGTATTCTGCACCATCTCCAAAACCAGAGTGATCGCATAGATCCAGCATGGCTGAATCAAAAAAATAGTAAAAAGAATGGGTCACAGGGCTTATTTTCACGCTACAGGTTGTGCAAAATTGACAGATTTTGTATAGATTATGCATGGAAAACCAAATTTTCTGCCATAAAACGAAAACTACACCATAGAATTTTGAGATAAAATATGAGAAGATAGCTCTAATAGTATGCTTTCAGATAAGAAAAAGAAAAAATGGGGTCACGGGACCCGTTTTCTTGCTACATAATAAAATAGGTAAATTCCTAACACATTCTATTGTAAAAGTAACTTTATCTGAATTATCTGCCCTTACATTTGAGTTCCCTCCCCTTATGTGGCAAAGTTGGAAAAAATAGAATCAAACAAAAGTATTCTGTTTTTCTGTAAAATACAACCATAAATATGATAAAATATGTCATTTTCTCTATTGAAATGAAAAATCTTACACATGAATTACCTACTACTCTCAAAATTTGCACCTTTTATTAAAGATCTAGATCGATTGTTTTCTTGCATTTCAAAATCCAAGATGGAGGAAGACACCCTATCTACCTTAAGATATAAAAGCCTTTCTGGTTACATGTTACAATATTTCCAATTTGTTAGATAGGTACAAAATGCCTCCCCACAATTTAAACCCAGGTACAAACCCTCTCAACTTAGGTATGAATGCATTCAATGGACATGGTATGAAATGACAAGCATTCTCTAGAAACGTATAAATAAGTTTTATATATTAACCTTTTTGCCTAGCTTTTGTTGTAAAGCTAATGCACCACTCAAATAACCAGCCCTGCCTATTAACATTTCATCCGACCCATGTTTAAAGAAATCTATTTTCATGCATTTTTCAGCAGCTGCAGCATACATTTCACCAAACTGATCAACACGACTTATGTTGCCCTCTTCCTGGGCTAAGAGACATCCAGTGGCAGTGATTCCTGCTGGTCCTAGGATGAAAGCAGAGGGTGGGTCTTTACTATGACCATGTGAGAGGTAATCAAGATTAACTTTCACGTATGCTTCAGCATTTTCTAAAAATATTGCTTTCCTTTCTTTAAAAGACTCTTGCTTAGACAAATAATACAACATGTAAGCCACACCAATATTTCCAACATACAATCCTCCATCACAGGAGTCTGAACTTGGTGGTAATTTTTCAAAAGTTGTATTAACAAGTGACTCAATACATCCTTTCCATTTACTCTTATCGATCAGGATCTCTGACCCAGCTTTATAGTCTGAAAATTTGTTCTCAAAATAACGCATTTTGCATGCCATATCTGCTAATAGGTGGTATGCGGTGATTGCTTGTAAATAGGTCTATTATTCATGTTATTTGCGCTTTACAATTAATGCGGAACGAGTGTCCGTCAACCGATTAATATTATCTTAATCAAACAAACGTTTTCCTTCTTTTCTGAATTAATTGTCCAAATCAGCAGTTATTTTTCACGTTCGATTTCTAACCCAGAAATTTCCCATTCATGAAATTATTCTGAAATGCCTTTAGTAATTTAAGATATCAAAGAATTGGATGCAAATAAAATTTTTTTCTAAAGCTTCAAATAGACATTGACCAAATCGGAAGTTGGATTCAGCAGCTGAAGCTATGAAAAGAACAAAGAAGAAATAGACATTCGTAAACAACTCAACCACTAAAGATGACAGCTATGGTCTTGAAAGCCTTATCCGTAACATTAGGAATATTTTTTGTATTCGTTGGATCATTAAAACTCACTCCTTCATTAAGCGATGAACTATATAAAGAAATGGTATTTTCATTTGTTTGTCTAATGACATGTACAAATGTGTATACAAGATATTTTATTTTCCAAATAAGGTCCCCAGGGGGCAAACACATATCAGGGTTCTCACTAAGGATTTTTAAAGGCGAGTCCAGGGACTCGTCATTTTTGGCCATGGTGAGTCCAACAGTAAGATGAAGATATTTTATTGCAATATAATGTATCATTTTAGTCTACATGACCTAATTATATAATAGAGCAATGAAATGACGTTAAATTCAGGTTATTTTAAAACTTTTTCTATAAAATGATGATTTGTGTGTTCAGTTTATACAAAATATTTCAATCTTGATGCATCTTTGGACTCACCAGTTTTGAAAATGGTGAGTCCAGACAGATTGTCATGAGTCCAGGACTCATGGACTTGCCTTAGTGAGAACCCTGCACATATAACAAATATAATCTTAACAACATAGAGCATTTTACATGACATTCATATAATACACCAAAACTATTGATATAGAGTTATACAGGCTATTTTATGTTTTAAATTAAAAAAAAGTATTTAAGAGTTGCTACTCCAGAGCCCAATGTGTCCTCTCACTTGATTTTATTTGCAGTTATTTTTTTTTTTTTTTTTAATATTTTCATGATTTTTGCTGAAAATGTATATATCAAGATATGTCAAGAAATTAGTACTTTTAATATTTCCCTACTTTCGTTCGTAACCAGGTACAAATGGGTACAACTGGTACATGCTGAATAATTTCATTTCTTATATATTTTAACTAGTTACAAATGATACATCATTACATGACTGGAAAATAAAGAAGTATTTTGTAAATCCTAATGAGAAGAAACTAAAGGCTTAAATCAGTCAGGGGACTTATTGAAATAAGTGATTTTTAAATCACTTATTTAAGTAGCAAATTCGAAGTTTTGTCACAAATTGTGATTTTGTAGTTTTACCAAAATTTTAAACACTAGGTTTAGATAATATCTTTTCATTAGTAAAATTGAAAAAAATGATTTTTTTGCTTCTTTTAAGCAGCAAGGTTTATGCCTTTCATGCAATCATTTAGCTGCAAATTCTATTTTAGTTGAAAAAATGCTTTAAAAATGGCTTTACATAATGAACTGATACTTTCTTAACAGATTTTTCCCAGCAGTGGGAGTATTTTTCCTGTAAAATTCAAGGTTTCATCTTATAGATTATGTAATAAAATTTTACTGTTATCGATCAAAATTTCACTGTTCGGGGGTGTTGAAATAAGTGGGGGATATTAAAATAATGATACTTAAAGAAGTGATTATTTGGAAGGAAATTGAGGTTTGATACTTAAACAAGTGATTTTTATGTCATTATCCTAGATTTAGTACAAGGTCATCACCTGACATGACCCGGTCATCCTATCAACACAGATGTTTGTTCTGATAATTTTAGCAACATAATTAGTCCCTGGATCATTAGTATTCTATATTTAAAGCTACAATAAAATTAAATCACTTAGTCTAGTGATTAATTTGTACTACTTAAATAGGTGATTATTATTAAAGAAAGACAACTCTTACTTCCAACCTTTATGGACATAATGTTACTTGAATCAGTGATTTAGAAAATCACTCATTTAAGTATTGCTATTTGTAACTGATTCCAAATAGGTACATAGGGTAAGGCATTTAAACTTTATTGACAGAGTTACATGTTTTATTCATGAAAATTATTAATTTATATATATCTTGACCTTGTACAACTAATCTCTAATATTTATAAAACAAACAGTCAATATATTTCAAAACTAGTTACAACTGGGTACAAATGGTTAGACTTATTTAATTAAGTAACCGGTTTAGATAAAGTGTCCTGAAAACTGGTTACAACTTGGTACACATGGCTACACTTATTTAATATCATGTGATTATAGTAACCTATTTAGATACAGTGTCCCAAAAACTGGTTACAAATGGTAAACATGGTAAATGGGGTGAGACTTCAGGTATTAAAATCAAGTATTTGTCTTGCAAAAAATGCAAAAGTAAGATATTAAAATATTTGTAAAAGCAACATGCAATCAGTATGATAAGTTCTATAAAGATATGATCGAAAATAAACATGAAAAAGCACCACTTCCCTAAAAACCACAGTTTTAATAACAAAATTATATAAGTCTCTTATTTGCATGATTAATTAGATATTTTAGCTACAAAACTCTGTCTCAGTCCACTCTCAGATTATTAAAAAATTCTTAAAATTTTAAAATAATGAAATAGAAAATGAGGTGTACTATCTGTGTCAGTCTTACTATAACCAGGTTTTCATTTGCTCCCATTTACAGTTTTGATTGATTCATACATGTCGCATTACTTGAGTCCAGTATTTACTAGGCTTTTAAATCCCAATGTTTGTAAAATGAGTACTAATATAAAAATGTCTTTGTATTTTAGCAATTTAAGAAATAAAGGGACAAACAAATAATCATGAGTTTCTATATGCAGACAATTTTTTACTATCTTCAAAATAAAAGTTGTATCCAGTACATTTAGTATGACTTTCACACTTTAAAAGTTTTATTAATTGGTTTTATTTTACAGAGAAAAAATTACATTCAACAAGTACGAGTATTCCCTCCTGTTAAATTATTCAAATGGAAGTTGAGTCCACATATATATAGGAAAGCTATTGGTGGTGCAGAGACACTATGTGGTGTTATTTTAGCTTTTATTCCAGGTAAGCCATCTTTATTAAGATATACATGCATGAACAAAAGAAAATTGAGAAAATGGATCCATTGGAAAAGAAAGGATATATGGGTGAGATGTACACGATAAAAAATCTCAAGAAATAATTGGGGGACAAAAAACACAACAAACACTGTGTAGCATAACCACTATATATAGGTACCCCAAAGCAAAGAAAATGATAGCAAAAAGTACCTATTCTAATCCCCGTACAGTAAACAACAATTCGCTGCTGTTATCCGTACAGTTGGTTTTTGTCGAGCCTTCGACTTTAGTCGAAAAAGCGAGACATAGCGATCCTACATTGCGTCGTCGGCGGCGGCGTCCACAAATATTCACTCTGTGGTTAAAGTTTTTGAAATTTTAATAACTTTCTTAAACTATCCTGGATTTCTACCAAACTTGGACAGAAGCTTGTTTATGATCATAAGATAGTATCAAGAAGTAAATTTTGTAAAAATAAAATTCCTGTTTTTCCGTATTTTACTTGTAAATGGACTTAGTTTTTCTGCCAGGAAACATTACATTCACTCTGTGGTTAAAGTTTTTAAAATTTAAATAACTTTCTTAAACTATCCTGGATTTCTACCAAACTTGGACAGAAGCTTGTTTATGATCATAAGATAGTATCCAGAAGTAAATTTGTTCAAAAAAAAAATTTCATTTTTTCCGTATTTTACTTATAAATGGACTTAGTTTTTCTGCCAGGAAACAATACATTCACTCTGTGGTTAAAGTTTTTAAAATTTTAATAACTTTCTTAAACTATCCTGGATTTGTACCAAACTTGGACAGAAGCTTGTTTATGATCATAAGATAGTATCCAGAAGTAAATTTGTTAAAAAAAAAATTTCATTTTTTCAGTATTTTACTTATAAATGGACTTAGTTTTTCTGCCAGGAAACAACACATTCACTCTGTGGTTAAAGTTTTTAAAATTTTAATAACTTTCTTAAACTATCCTGGATTTGTACCAAATTAGGACAGAAGCTTGTTTATGATCAAAAGCTAGTATCTAGAAGGAAATTTTGTTAAAATTTGTACCTGTTTATCCGTATTTTACTTATAAATGGACTTAGTTTTTAAAGGCAGTGCTTTAATGCCTTTCTAGTTGCCGTGTTAATATTTCTTTCCACGATATCCAACTTATCTACGTGGGGGGTCATTTAGCTCCAAGTAGATCCGGAAAATGTTGATTCTCTCCTCTTCTTATTGTGGTATAAAATGTTTTTTGTCTCATTTCATTTACATTGGGAAATAGAGAAACGATCATTGTGTTTTGTTAGTTTTAAAAACTTTTGATTTATAAGTATTTTGCATTATAAGCAGTCAACCGATTGACAAACTAGAATTATTTGAATTCCGTGGGAAAGAGCTCGGGTTAATTTCGAGTGCTATCTGCAATCTAGATGTTTATAAGTCATTTCAGTCGTTGATATAATAATTAAAGGTCGACTGAACATGAATTATATTATACAATTTAAAGCGCATTTCTGTTTATGCACGTGAACCCGTCTAACGTTATTGTTATTTCGCAGTTATATAAAGTAGCAAATTATCGTTCCTGAATAGGTGGCGCCGTGGTAGCGGATCCTGTTCCTCAACTTCCGGTTTCTGCACAGTGCAACTATTTCAGTTATATTTTTAATTAACGATGCCAAGTACTTGTTGTTGTGTACCTGGATGTCATTTAAGAGGAGGACATGCATTTCCAAATGACTTAAAAAGAAGGAAAAGTTGGATCAACGCCATTGCCCATACGCAGATTGGACGAGAACACGATGATATCGTGGAGTCCATCTCAATCAGCTGTTGTTTGCAAGGCACGTTTTACTGAAAAAGACTACGTGCAGGAAACTATTCATGGTAAAACTCTATTTTCTTTGTGAAATATATAGTTATATATGTAATCGCCATGCAAATAAACCAAAGTCAGTTTACAACCGCAATTATCGTTTTAGAATAAAAGGGGGTGGTTATTTCAAGACGTCATAATTATTTGGTTACGATTCAATGTGATCTGTTTGAGATTTTTTGGTGCTTGCTACAATTATAATGATTTCTTACAAGAGGTATATCATACTGAGAATTATTTTAGCAGTAATTATGCTTATGTAGTAATGACAGGAATGCATAAGCTATGCCTCATAGACTTTCTTGAAAAATATCAATGACAATGTTAACAGGAACAAAACAATGACATGCTCTCATCTATATTATAGTTATTTAGGTACAAACAATGTATGTTTGTTGCATACGTCTCTCATTGTTTGTCCTTTGGATTTACATAACATACATTTTGATGTACATTGAATCAGGCTAACATAGTTTTATCCAGATTGTAATGAATAAATCTAGTTAATATTTTGCCAGGTTACGAGTACAAAGGAATTATAGTTATCTCGTACCATTGTAACTCGTACCAATGTCAACTCGTACCACTAAACAAAAACTCGTTCCAATGCAAACTCGTACCACTGCTAACTCGTACCACGGTAAATTCATACCATTGTAAACTTGTACCAACTTATTTAAATGCATTCAAATGGTGTTTAATGATGAATATATACTTTAATTTTACTCAATACCTCTTAAGTCTGTAAAATGTATATAATTTGAAATTACAATAACCAATTTGTAGCTAATTTTCCTTGTCTAATTGGATAGAGAAAACCGTGGCAGATTGGCTTTGTTGTCTCCCTTGAATAGACTCTTTTTTAAACTTTTACTGACAACTATTTGATTTAGTTTTTAATCATTCCAAATCAGTAACATTGAATAGATTTGGGTATTTTTCTATTGTTTCTAAAAGGAATTTTATTTAATGAAAGAATTTATTGATTGTGTTTTAAAGGTTTAAAATTGTTTATGACCAACAGTTAGAAAGTATGAAATTTATTTTTATACAATATTCAGCACATTTCAGCAGAATATGACCATGCTTATATGATTATACAAGTTGATTAGTAAAAGATAAAAAAAAACAAGTTGATTAGTTAATAATCAACCAATAATCACACAATCAAAGGAATTTAATATATTTATTAGCATGGTAATTAAGGAATTACATTTGTATTTTTGTCTAAGTTTTCATTAAAATCTGGTATAAATTTCAAAGATATTTTAATTTTTTGTATAAAGCTTAAAAAAAAAATAATCATAAAACATTCGTATTTTTGTCTAAGTTTTCATTAAAATCTAGTATAAAATTCAAGTAATTCAACTTTTTTTATTTAGTTTACCAAAAAAAAATTCATAAAACTTTCGTATTTTTGAATATATTTTTAATGGTACGAGTTTGCAGTGGTAAGAGTTCTGATTGGTACGACTTCCCAGTGGTACGAGTTTACGTTGGTACGAGTTTACAATGGTACGAGTTAACTTGCTTCTGTACAAAGTATGCATTGCTAATGGAAGTTCATTTAATTATCAAAAAACTAATGTTTTATAACCTTTTTCAGGGCACAAACCCACCATACAGAGACTTAAGTCTACTGCCAATCCCAGCCTATTTTCCTGGACCAAGCAAGAGACTGAATCGTCCGCAAAAAGAAAAATCAGGGCAGTTTCCTGTGAAAACAAAAGAACTAAACTTGATGAATATTGTAGTAGAAATCTAGAGGAAAGTTTTGATTGTAAAGTTGGTTTTCCTGAAGAGGTAATTCATACTGCAGACAGGATTTATGACTGTCCACCACCAACTGCCGAGCTAATGTTGAGCTTCACAGATGGAATTACGCAAACACCATCAATGCCTTATTTTCAGCAGAGAATTTTGAAATGAAGACACGTGACACAGCCATGCATTTTTATACCGGTTTAGAGTTGTATACTAAATTTTTATTTGTTTTGACCACACTTGGTCCAACAGCACATTGTTTGAGATACATATATTTTCAAATTGATAGGGTGTCATTTGAAAATCAGTTTTTTTTATGACTTTGATGAAATTGATGCATTATACAACCAACCTTGAACTGTCTAGATTCTAGATTGAAACTAGTGTTAAGAATATTGTGTAAACATGGATTGTTTTTATGTCTAAACAGTGGCGTGAGGCTAACACTTGGCCATTTAGTGGTTTAGTCAGGTATTTTTCGCCATCCAACTTAGAATTAAAGTTTCCTACAACTTGGATTATTATTGACAGCACAGAATATCCCGTGATAAAACCTAAAGCTCCTAGAGCTCAGGCAACCTTTTCATCATATAAAAACAGAAGCACTGAAAATACTTGTATGTTGGACACCTGGTGGTTTAGTCAACTATGTCTCTAATGCATATGTTGGTTGTACCAGTGACTGTGAAATAGTTGAAAGATGTAGAATAGTTCAATTATGTGATCCAGGTGACAGTGTGATGGCAGACAAAGGTTTAAATGTGCAAGATTTGTTTGCTCACTTTTTTCAAAAAAAGAAACAATTAGTTCCAAAACTCTTATACGGGATAGAAAAGTCTCCAATTAACACGTGCACATAGAGCTAATTATTGGACTTGTCAAAACATACAAAATTCTAATAAATCCTATGAATGGAACTGAAACAAAACTTTCATCTGAAATAACATTTAGTTGTTTTATGTTGTGTAATTTTAGAACTTGTATTGTGCCAAAGGATGCATAAATAAAAGTGACGCAATGAAGTTTGTTCTGATATATATATATAAATATTATTTACAATTACATGCACATGTAAATTGTAATGCATATAAAAATAAGGAGATGTGGTATGATATTCAGTGAGTTTATCGAACCAAAGTGCATAAGAAATGGGTTAAGCAGTTACAGGTGTTACTGTCACCATACAATCTCCAACAATTAGAAAAACTTGTACCGTGTAAAAAATTTCAGAGATCTTACAACTAAGTTTTGTTGTCTCACCTTGACTTTGGTGAATTGTTTATATCTGTTGATGTAAATATAAAAAAGAAGATGTGGTATGATTGCCAATGAGACAACTCTCCACAAGAGACCAAATGACACAGAAATTA